CTGCCAGTCAGGAAGGTGCTGGCTCCAGCGGCCAATGCCCTGCACCGAGCACGAGGGAGGAGCTGGCTCTTCTTTCGAGCCCGTATAAATCCTTTAGTTCTCTTTCCTTTTCTTGCCACTGAACTAAGCAAGAGCTGCGACAAGCCTGCGCTGGCCCCAGCAGAGGGGAGCAGCTGAGGAAACTCCCTGCTGCTCATCACCAGGAGAGCTAGAACCAGCAGTGTGCTGCTGAGGATTTTCCAGGGAAAATCTCTTTGATGTCTGCAAGATTTGAAACTTGCTTTCCTACAAAGAAGAGCAGCCTGCGACTGACACAAAACTCACTGTAAATGCAGATTTTTGTGTGTTTCTACCTGCAAAAGTGACTAAAGAAAAGTCCTGCTTGGTTCCATCCCATGTGCACAGCAACAGCTTGGAAGGACTTTCTCTTTCCTCCCCGTCTTTTATCTTTTTTTTTAACCTGAGCTTTATCGGGTCTGTAATCACTTGTGAATTCAACTCCTTTGCTGGCCATGAACACCACGCACTTCGCATTCTCATTCCAGCCTGTGCTGCTTAACGTAACCGAAGAATTCAATGACTCAATCCTGAACAACAGAAGCGGCGACGGATTTTGTGAGCAGGTCTTCATAAAAGCTGAGGTCTTCTTGACGTTAGGGATCATCAGCCTCCTGGAAAACATCCTTGTCATTCTTGCAGTGCTGAAGAATGGAAACCTACATTCTCCCATGTACTTCTTTCTTTGTAGTTTGGCTGTGGCAGATATGTTAGTGAGCATGTCAAATGCCTTGGAGACTATCATGATCGCAATCCTGAGCAACGGCTACTTGATCATTGATGACCACTTTATTCAGCACATGGACAATGTTTTTGACTCAATGATTTGTATTTCTTTGGTAGCCTCAATTTGCAACCTCTTGGTTATAGCCATTGACAGGTACATAACTATTTTCTATGCTCTCCGGTATCACAGCATCATGACTGTGAAGAAAGCTTTAACCCTGATTGTGGTCATTTGGATTGGCTGTATCATCTGTGGCATCATATTCATTGCCTACTCTGAAAGCAAAACTGTCATTGTTTGTCTCATCACCATGTTCTTTACCATGCTCTTCCTCATGGCCTCCCTTTACGTTCACATGTTCTTGTTTGCGCGCCTGCATGTCAAGCGGATTGCAGCCCTCCCCGTGGATGGGGTGCCCTACCAGCGTACCTGCATGAAGGGAGCTGTCACCATCACTATATTACTTGGTGTCTTCATTGTTTGCTGGGCACCTTTCTTCCTTCACCTCATTCTCATCATTTCTTGCCCAATGAATCCATACTGTGTCTGCTACACTTCACATTTCAATACCTACCTGGTCTTGATAATGTGCAACTCAGTAATTGATCCACTCATTTATGCTTTCCGGAGCCTGGAGATGAGAAAGACTTTCAAAGAAATAGTGTGTTGCTGTTACGGCATGAGTGTGGGACAGTGCATGCTGTAAACATCTGGCTTTGTGTTGAGAGTAGACAGAGGATACACACACTGGGTGTAAGAATATACGTATGTATCTAGATACATAGCTGCTCCACTTTAAAAGCAGTGCTTGAAAGAAGGGCACAGGAAAGAAAAAATAACCTTCTCCTTGATGCCTTGATCCATACTTTTCAAAATGAAAACCAAATTCAACTACATTATTTGAAATTATTTAAATAGTTATAAGAGAAGGAAATCCTGAATGACTTTCAAAACAGCTTAAGAAACTTACTGGAAAAATGAATCCTGAAAGGGAATACTACCCCAGAGACTGAAATAACATTCCCTCTACCATTCCCTTGTACCTGTTGCTTTATCACTGTGCCACTATCAACAAGTCCGTGCTTTCTAAAAGATGCCATTAGTAACCTCTATGGACAGTTATTCACATGCAAGAAAAATCAAAACACCAACAGGTACCAGCATCACTCCTCACTTATTCTCGTGACTCCACCTTTTAATAAAAGAATAGATTGACATTTATGCTGCTTGCTATAAAGCAGCCTGAGCAAAATATTTGAAGTGAGAAAGTAAACATTCCTCTCACACTGGAATATTCTTTCAGTAAAAAACTGTTATCTGAAAAGGAAAAGCTACTGTATCAGTGATGATAGTGTGACAGCTGCCTGATAGAAGAGACTCAAGACAAAGGCATTTACATTACTTATTGTGATATAAGAGTATTTTACCCTCAGATTTTTTTTTAAACTGGAATGCACTAATCAATATAGTATTTGATATGTTAATAAGTCACAGAAATCTCCTTTTGATAAATTTTCACCAATGAGACCCATTCCTAGAAAATTCTGAAAACTACACAGACATAATGAATAGCTAAAAATGCAAAATAGTTTGAATTTAGCTCTGTGTAAAAGCTGCATAGAATCTTTTGAGATATCCATTTGTCTGTTAGGCACCTGGAAGAAATAAGATGTGCACGGCAGATAGGACTTCTGTGCATTGAGAAATATATACCATGGGTCAGTCTTTTCACTTAAGGAGCTTTACAGTGAGCTTGGTGGATGGACACTGCTGCACTGGAAACAAGAAAACATGCTGTTTGCAATCATTTTCAAACTCTGTGTGCAAGTTGGTGGCATGTAAAGCACACAACTTCAGCTGCAACCGTTTAGTCTTTGCCTCTGCTTTTTACAGGAATCAGCCATGTAAGCAGCCTTCAAATAGCTTATTGTAACTGAGCAAAGGCTGATGCGACTTGTGTATAATGCAATGTACAGGCTGTATCACAGACAGTGCCACACTAAGAAACATCTAAGCCAGTCTAAAGTCTACTTACACCTTTCTGGTGCCTCATTTCTAGAAGAGGCAGTAACCTGAAACCCTCAGGGTTGTCTGTTGCTTTCAAACACCTAAAAGGTCTCATTTGATTTCAGACTTTTTTTTTTTTCTCATTGTAGTGGAGTTACTAGGTTGTTATTATTTCTGGAGCTCCCCCCTGTCAGTTTAGGAATAGTTATCCAGCTCTGACTGTCCATGGGGAAGACATGTCCCACAGTTTGCAAATACTGGCCTGTTTGACTGTTTTATTCTCAGCATCTTATAACCTATGTAGAGAGCAAACTAACCTCCCAGTCCTATGGAGTGTATAATTTTCATGGGGCCAAGAACCATCTCTCCCTGCTCTCTAGCCACACTTTGCCCATCAGCCAAAACCAACATCATGGTCCCTATTTCCCTTGCCCTCTGACCACACTTAAATTCCCTAATCTAGCTCTCATTACCATCTACAATCCCATCCTCCAGACTTCAACATTCCCAGCACTCCCACTCTTCCAACAACTAATTAATCTCTTAACCCTTAATTTTAAAAAAAAACTAAACTAAAAAAAAACACCAAAGTCACTGCCAAGCATGTGGCAGAAGAGGCACAGATAAATTTCCCATGTTTCAGGTAAAGAACTGAAAATCCCAACAACTGGCAAATAAGCTAAACCTGAACGCTTTCAGCTTTATCTATGTCTCACAAGTTAGTTTGGCAGCAAATTACTGTTCTTTTAGCTCAGCCTGTCGTACTTCTGCAATCTCTGATGTGGCACATTAAGATGAACTGAAGCAAATCAGCATAAGAAACCACACAACTGGCCTTTCATGATGTGGAAAGACTGTACCTGCTTGTAAAAAAATCCACCTGTTATCAGTGTTATGTACCTTTCTACTGTGGAGGATGGTTTGCCACAATATTCTGCCTCAGGTTATTGTGTATTTAGCTTTTATTGCACCTGATGTCCTATTTATTTCTATTTTTTAGAAGTGATTTTGGATGAGACTTTCACACTGTGCTTTGTCTTTAAAAAAAACATACATCTGTTGAATAAAATTATCTGAAGACAGTGTGCTGGTTCTGGCTGGGAGAGAGTTAATTTTCTTCACAGTAGCTGGTATGGGGCTATGGTTTGGATTTGTGCTGGAAACAGTGTTGATAACACAGGGATGTTTTTGTTACTGCTGAGCAGTGCTTACAGAGTCAAGGCCTTTGCTGCTCCTCACCCCCCCACCAGCGTGTTGTCAGGGGAGGCACAAGGAGTTGGGAGGGGACACAGCCGGACAGCTGACCCCAACTGACCAAAGGCATGTTCCATATCATATGGCATCATGCTCAGCATGTAAAGCTGGGGGAAAAAAGAAGGAAAGGGGGGACATTCAGAGTGATGGTGTCTTCCCAAGTAACCATTACACATGACGGAGCCCTGCTGTCCTAGAGATGGCTGAACACCTGCCTGCCTTGGGAAGTGGTAAATGAATTTTTGTTTTGCTATGCTTGCATAGCTTTTGCTTTACCTATTAAGCTGTCACTATCTTGGCCCATGAGATTTCTCACTTTTACTCTTCCTATTCTCTCCCCCATCACACTGTCAGTGAGCGAGCGGCTGCGCGGGACCGAGTTGCTGGCTGCGGTTAAACCACGACACTTATAATCACGTTTGCTTCTATCAGAGCACCATGCCATGTCAAACCACAGTCCTGCTGGGCTGGTTCACAAAACTAGAAATAGTCTAATGCTGGGCAAAAGCCTCCTAATTCTACATGCTGTCCACAGAGCTACACAAAAATGAGCAAAAAAAACCCAGACTTTTCCATCCCACACACAAACATGAGGTAAAGAGAACCCCTAAAATCCCTCAAAGACCTCTCACACTTTGTGGCATGAGTCACTGAAGGTGCAGCTCCTCCCTACAGGTTATCCATGGAGATGGATGGTGGGTTTGTCCAGCTCCATTCCAGATTCCCAACTCAAACTTAAACTTTGGAAATCCATGGTGTAGTCTTCTGCATGGAGCCAGGATGGTAGCTATCACAAGCCTGTCCATGACAGGAAGGGAAAGGAAAGAAAGTCTCCATGGGAGTGATCCCCACAGTAGGATGTAGGGAATGCATACTAGTAGCTGCAGGTCCAAGTGTGAAGCGGGTGTGAAGGGAAGAACAGGACTGCACTCTAAGGAAATACCACTGCAACCAGTTGCAGTGGGACAGATCCTAATGTTTCACTGAGAAGGGAGTCCTGGAGCTGGTGTTCAGCCATCCTCAGTCCTCAGGGACAGAGCTGAGATGAGTCAGGGCTCATCTAAGAGGCACACAAGGACTGCAACATCAGCAGAAGCTCCCCAAAACAGTATCACTTCCCAGCAGTGCACCCTACAGATGTGTACATACAGCAGAACAGACATCACAGCAACACATGCTGGTACAGGGTAGCAGTCCTTAACGTATGCTAGTAACCAAAGCAACATTCCTATCTGTTTATAATTGCAGTGAGAACACTTTCGGAGTTGTTACTTGTGAGTTAATGTATAATCTGTTCACAAGAAGCAGCGTTTCTTCCTTGGTGAGCCTGCTGCCTTGAACAAGATATATGCAGTTTTCCCCCAGATAGTATGAGGAATGGCAGACTGAGATAATACCCTTTTCATGTCATTTATATGGATTTATTGATTCAGTTTTTCTGCAAGACAATCAGGCAGTCCATGAACAGTGTAGGATTACCACTTGTTAGAAAACCCTCATATATTCAGACATATTTGAATTTGCAGGAGCATGCAGGCAAGCTAAGCCAACCCAACACAGCATATTCTGCAAACTACAGCCAGATTTGCTTCTTTCATATAAAATTCAGCACTACACATGCAATTTTCCCATCAATAAGTGTCTAACTATTTTAGAATTGAAAGCATTTGTCCTAATGGAAAAATAACAAAGTCGAGGCACAGAATTCTGCAGTCAACCAATGTCATCAGTAGGGCCATTAGTACAAATACCTTGATTACCTCTTCTCAGAAATAAGATGCTTCTATTTGTTGAAGCCCAGTTTGCAACCAGGGTTAGCTGTTTAGTAGCTATACCTAAACCATTAAGGTGATTTTGGAGCTCACTCAAAGGAATACTGCTTCACAACATCAACTGAAAAAACCTTTGCTGGGCAACCCAGCCCAATCCCACTACCACATCCCTGAGACAGTATGAGAGAAAACAGGCAACCTGGGCACTGAGACACCCAGTGTGGGTACCACAGAGGCAACAGTTCCAGAGCAGCTTGCTCCTTCCCATCTCCATCATCCAGGAGTAGAGGCTAGCTACACTCAGAGCAATTGATATAAGATGATCCCTCCTGAATAAAGCACAGAAATTTGGACTGCATTCAGTGGGCTTCAGGGCAGGGTCAGGAGGGCTCACACAGTTTGTATTAGCAATGTGACAGTCGGTTCATGTATCAGTGTTGTGACCAAGTTGTGACAGGGATCTCTGGTGTTCCCTATTCAGAAGAGCTCTGGGTACAAGCATGGACCTAACCTTTATCACAACTATAACACAATGCCTACATTCGATAAGCTTTCAGGTGCAAGGCAGAAGAAAGAAATAGGTTTCAAAGAACACCACAAAGACTAACAAAAACTCCTGTTGATACACGTCTCTCTGAATAACATGCAGATGGTACTGTTCAGCTCAGTGTTG